GAAAACAGCCAAAATACTAAGAAAAGAAACAAGGTCAAAAATGACAGAAAATAGAAGGAAAGAAAACTACTGAATATAAAGTTCAAACCCATAATTATAAGGTTCTCAAGAATTTTCAAGAAAGCTTCCAAGAAATTTAGTGAGACCCTCAAGGATATGAAAAGGACCAATTAGAAATTAAACATACACTGACTGAAATAAAGAATATTATACAGAGATCCAACAGCAGACTAGAGGATCCCAAGAACCAAGTCAAAGATGTGAAATATGAAGAAGCAAAAAACATGCAACCGGAAAAGCAAAAGGAAAAAAGAATACAAAAATATGAAGATAGTGTAAGAAGTCTCTGGGACAGCTTCAAGCCTACCAACATCTGAATTATAGGGGTGCCAGAAGAGAGAGAGCAAGATATTGAAAACCTATTTGAAGAAATAATGACAGAAAACTTCCCCTACCTGGTGAAAGAAATAGACTTCCAAGTCCAGGAAGCGCATAGAACCCCAAACAAAAGGAATCCAAAGAGGACCACACCAAGACACATCATAATTAAAATGCCAAGAGCAAAAGACAAAGAGAGTATCCTAAAAGCAGCAAGAGAAAGAAAGTCAATTACCTACAAGGGAGTACCCATAGGACTGTCAGCTGATTTCTCAACAGAAACTTTTCAGGCCAAAAGGGAGTGGCAAGAAATATTCAAAGTGATGAATACCAAGAACCTACAACCAAGAGTACTTTATCCAGCAAAGCTATCATTCAGAAGTGAAGGTCAGATAAAGAGCTTCACAGATAAGAAAAAGCTAAAGGAGTTCATCACCACCAAACCAGTATTATATGAAATGCTGAAAGGTATCCTTTAAGAAGAGGAAGAAGAAGAAAAAGGTAAAGATACAAATTATGAACAACAAATACACATCTATCAATAAGTGAATCTAAAAATCAAGTGAATAAATAATCTGATGAACAGTATGAACTGGTGATTGCAATAGAATCAGGGACATAGTAAGGGAATGGACTGACTATTCTTGGGGGGTGAAAGGGCTGTGGAGGGTGCGGGAAGAGATTGGACAATAATCGTGCACCTATGGATGAGGACAGTGGGTGGGAAGTGAGGGTGGAGGGTGGGGTGGGAACTGGGTGGAGGGGAGTTATGGTGGGGAAAAATGAGGAACCAGTGTAATAATCTGAACAATAAATATTTAATTTTTTTAAAAAAAGAAAAGGACTACAAACTAGTAACCTATAATTCAGAATACAGGCTCTTGAGCCAGACTATCTACATTTCAAAGCCATTCCAAAGATCTATTTATTAGCTGTGCGACATGAAGCGCATTATTCAATCTCTCTGTGCCTCAGTTTCCATGTCTGTAAAATGGGAATAATAGTGAAACCCATGTTAGTGAAAAATAATAATGTGTCCCGATAAAATGTGCTCACTGCTTCCATGTGAGTAATTCATAAGGATGGCAGGGCAGGAGCGCAGGTGAAGGGCACTGTGACCCACTGAGCACCTCCGACTGTGAGGATGCACAGGCTCCTGCTGAAATGCACAGTCACACATGCTCCCTGGGCTCCTGTAGGGAGGGTGTGGGGGACTCACAGGGACAAGCTCAGGGCTGGGGAATGCAGGTCAGTTCACAATGTAACAGTCCCCAGTCACACACTTCCTGTGTGGGAAGGAGAGTTGAGGAGCTTTGTCACTCTGGCTGCAGGGCTGTTTAGACACTTTGCATATGAAGCCTCTGAAATCACTCATTTTACAGATTAGCTTCCTGGTCCAGGCTTCCCCAGACTGTGGTCCCCTTGCCCTTCACTGGTCTTTTCAGGCCCAACTCCTCCAGGATTACAGAGGAGACCCTGTCCTCCGCCTCCTCTCACAGGGAGCTCGCTCTCTGGCATCAAGGTCCCAGGGTGAGTTTTCTTCTAGAAGAGTCCAGGGCAGAGGTGAGGGTGGGAGGCAGAGTGCATTCCAGGGAGAGGGGTTCTAGGAGGAGAAGGGGAGGAAAGGGCTGGTCCCAGCCTGGGGAGTCTCCCTGGTTCTCACACAGCCACTGGGCAGGACTGAGGGAGACGGTGTGACAGAGAGCGCTCCGTGCAGGGGAGGGGTCAGGGCAACATCCCAGGGCCCAGCCCCAGGGCGGAGACTGAAGCGGGAAGCTCAGTGTTGGGGAGTCCCCACCTCTCCACAGTTTCACTTCTCCCTCTCTCAACTTGTGCGGGGCCCAAGCCAGTTCTCACTCCCATTGGGTGTCAGGTGCTACAGAAGCCAATCATCTTCACCTCCCTCCCAGTTGTAAGTCTCCGCGGACTCACTAGGTCTCCA